CCTGTTGCATCCCATCTCTCCTGCCATCTGACAAAAAGCGCATACTCCTCGCAGCACTACTTTTCGCTGGCTTCTCAATATTAGCTGTCTATATTTCTTTGTTCTCAAGGGCTTATTGTATATAGGAACTCCGTACAGCATAATCGAGTTTGCCACCCCTACCAAAATCCTGGGCCGCTCGCTACTGGGGCCTCCTTCAGATGGTATTATCCGTATAAGTGATGCAACGACATTTACCTTATCAGTAGTGCGCCTTATATGTACAATCATTTTCAGCAACGGCCCTACGACGGAGCCCTGCGGCACTCCCATGGTTACCTTCATCGTCTGTTGTCCTACTATAACTACTCTCCCGATAAAGTAGCTCTTTAGCATGTTCGATGGATCGCTAGAGTGTCTAGCTTCTTGAGGGATTCTACAGTGCCACAGGAATTCTTAATGTCAAAAATAACGATAACGCAAAGCTCCTTACTACTGTAACTGCCGCTTTCCGCTACTTTCGCCAGCTGTGCCCCTGCGCTAAGTCCACTTTCTATCAGTCGTTCTAGCAACTTTCCAAGTAAATCGTCATACACAGAGGTCTATATTTGACTCTGTGGATTTAGGGATGGGCACCAAACCAGTCTCATTCCATCTCTTCGAAAAGACTCTCGTTCTCAAGCATTCGTTAATCGCAGACATCACGGTTTCGGCTATCTCTTTAAGCAGCGCTTTCACGATCTCATTTGGTATTTCATCTAGTCCTGGGGTCTTACCTGTTTTCAAGTGTCTTGTTCTTCCGGCTCAGTCATTATGAACTCTGGTACGTCCAGTCCGAGAACTTCGGAAACAATCTCTCTGAAATTTTTCATTGCTGTTCAGTATCCAGGTACAGTCTGTCTGTGTCTTTTAGCTTTCTCATGCCTATCTTGTATGCTTGATCCCAAACGTTTAATGATTCTTTCCATATCCTTTGTTTAGAGTTCGCTATGAGATTCTAGTTCTTTTTTGGCATATCGATGTTGTTTTTTGTACCCTAGCATCAGAACATTATTCCTGGTTCCATTCGCTCTGTGGTACTTATTTTCTCTAGTTATTCTACGTCTGATAGTTCGGTATGATTTTCTTTCTTGTACTATTTTATTATTCTGCCAATACTTTGCTACCCTCACTTTACTGTTTTTGTGGACCACGCCAAAGGTGTTGTCACATACTGTTATGACTACATCCTTCAGCAGTTGAACTTCAGTCATCCACTTTTTAATTGCAGATTTCTAGCGAGTTTTAACTTAGTTCCATTTAACTTCCACCTGAAGATCTTATCTATGTGTTTGTGGTCTTTCATGATTGATAGTTGTTATTTCAAACATACTCGTCATATATTTATCGTCGCTCAGGTTTTTGTCATCGAGTACTTTGCAGTTTTTCATTTTACTAATCAGGTTCTTACTATGGAATGAATGGCTGGCCACCTTTGTTTGTTATGACAAGGCTCCTGGCTGCGAGAATTTCTTCCAGGAGCTCTCCTCTTGTGACAGTAATCTGGGATCCCCAAGTTGTCGACTGCGAATTGAAATCTTCCCCAACCAGGTACTGCTTTATACTGTGGTCCATAAGAGTTTCCAATTCATTTAGTCTTTAAAGATAGAACTTTGTCAAAGCATATTTGATAATCGAAAAAAGATTAATTTTATCCTGATCCTTTCGGCACTATTCGTCATTGTTCGTCAGAGCGGTCCAGTGGACCTTTGCTCTTAGTTAAAAATCTCGTCAGTCTGTTAGTCTGTCAGGTCTGGCTACCAAGATACCAAACATGTTTAAGGGGAAAAGGGAAAGAAGGAAAGAAAGTAAGGAAGAAATAGAGCAAAGAAAAGAAGTAAATCATTTGAAATAGCTTAAGCATTATTGCTTTGACTACTCGAATAATTTTGTAACTCCAAAAAATAATTTTGATCGGTTTTGTATACTTACTGAAATAATTTTGGTTTTTCTGAAATTCAAAATTTAATTTTGATCGCAGTGCGAGGCGCGGCCTCGAATGTTTGCGAACTTGCTCGACTGTGTAGTCTACTGAATCACGCAACAGAGGGTTGCTGTGCGATTCGGCGATTATAACGCCGCTGTGCCTGTTGTTTTGCATAATCCCTTACATATAGAATATTCAGATCTCTATGAATGGTCTCATTTGACACGTACCAAGGGACCTTAGTGATTGTGCATAGGTTTCTGTTTTGCAAGACTTGCAGTCTCTGCATGTGCGTCTTGAAAAGAAAACACCAAACCGCGCATGCGTAGGCGATTACGGGTCTTATATCCATTTTATACAACCGAATCTTGTTGATCAAACTTAATTTAGAATGTCTGCATAACAAAGGATAAAGCTACCGAAAGGTAATTTGGAATTTTGTTTTCAAAATATCAGTATGTTTCTGCCAGGTCAACCTCTTGTCAATGACGACTCCAAGGTACCTGACAGATTGCTCCCATGGTATACGAGTTCCAGTCACTGATATCTCTGATGGGGCACCGCGACGTTTTTTAGTACAATAGATTGCCTTGCGTTTTCGAAATATTAATTTTGAGCAGCCACCGATCCGCCCACTATAATACTTCCTCCACCGCACTCTACAGCCTGAACCAGGTTAACAGAACAAGACAGGGCTAGCAGCGCAGTGTCGTTAGCATAGAGATAGACTTCACAGTTGCTAGGGCAAGGGACGTCATGTATATAAAGTGAATAAAGGATTGGTCCTAAGACCGAACCCTGAGGAACACCGGCTGTTACGGAAGGTGTTGTTGACAACACATTGTTAATTTTGATCTGAAACGTCCTTCCTTCTAGAAAAGATTTCAACAGTTTTAGTAGCCAAAGTGGAAAACCCTTTTGGATGACCTTATAAAAGGGGCCCATGTGCCAAGCTTGTCAAATGCCTTTGATACATCTAAAAGCAAGATACCAGTACTTTTGTTGAATGTGAAACCTCTGGTTATATGCTCCACCAGTCTAACTGCCTGTCAGGAATCTCAAGGTGACGATAAATCAAGTTTTCAGCGAGCTTAGAAGGAGCTGACAGCAGGCTAATGGGACGGTAATCTTGGGGGAATATCGAACCTACCTTCTTTGGGATCATGATGACTTCCGCGATCTTCCATGCCTTAGGAAAGTACTGAGTACAGAGCATTGCATTGATTATTTATTGCCACCAGATAAGTCAAAGCCTTGAGCGAAAGCAACTTCAGTGCTTTGTTCGTGATTTGATCCTCTCCAGGTACTTTACGCACCTTTAGGTCCTTAATGTGGCCTTGGAGATCTGTTGGTGTGCAAACCAGAATCTCAGAGGATTCCGCTGATGCAGAGATTTATCCGAAGAGTCTTCTGTAGAAGAATCTTCTGAAAAGGAGTCACCGATGTTAGCACTGATGCTGTTGTCGCCATTCGCTCTGAAATATCTCCTGACAGATCTTATAAATTGTCGTTCCTCGTCAAGGTCATTGTCCAGATCATAATTGGGAGAGTACTGCCTTTTCATGGCGTCAGCAAAAACCTCCACTTTATTTTTAGTCCTGAAAACTATGCCTCTAGGACCATGAATATGTGGTAATTGTTCTTGCCTTCCGTTTCTGAGCGATTTTGCCACTTTCCCAGAGAGGAATACTTGATTCAAGCATCCCCGCCAGAAAGTTGCTCCACTGCTCATTGCGGAATTCACAGAGTGCATTTCTCACTTCATGGACAAGATTCGTCGCTCTACGAATGTCATCAGGATGACAAGTATTGTTTGCTTGCTTAATCGTAGCTCTCTTTCCAGAAATTTTCTGACGGATGTCAACAGGGAGAGAAGTCACTACACTGGAAGCACAGCAGCACGCTGTAGAGGTCGGTAAACCAAACTTGTCCGCTCCGATTGAGCAGCATCTATTCCATTCTCATCATTTCTTTTTGAGAAATAACTTGTATAGTTCCCAATCAACTCTTTTCCTTGGATGAGTCTCCTCCTCCACGAAACCCATTACCTACCTCCAGAACAACAGGTAGATGGTCACTAGAGATGTCATACAAGATCCTAGAAGCAACACTGAACCTGCAGTTTCTAGATGTTGCAAAGTCTTAACATAAGGTGCCTGAAGGTGATTGAAACGATGGTGTGTCGGCTCTTCGGTGCTGTGAATAAGATATACGTTTGCACATCACATGGTTGTAAAGCCGAACTCCACAAGTAGAGATAAGCCTTGAGTGCCATGATCGGTGTTTTCTGTTGTAGTAGTCCCCCCCGCAATAAGAGTGCCCGAACAGTCCAGTAGGACTCTCGCAGCCTGGCACCGCACCTGACATACACCGAGGTGATCTTCAACAGAATGCATCCCGCGATATTGACTACCACTGACGCCGCTTCAATGCTTTGCATCTCGACGTTTGTGCTTTGGTGATAGTCAACATCACGTTTAACGAGCACAGCCAAGCCATCACCCCTACCATTCAATCTGTCAGCACGTATAACATCATAATTCGAGAAGACTAAGCGATCTCCCGGATTAAGTAATGTTGCCTGCAGCAGAGCTACGTCTATACTCTCATCCAATAGAGTTTGATAAAATTCCCGTTTTTGGGAATATCCCTTCGACATTTCCAAAAAAGAATATTGATAAATGCAGGTTGTCTATTGTACTTAGCCATTCAATGGCTGCGGAAAGATCGTCTGCAATGCCTGAGTGGCGCTAATCAGGGGACTTAATATTTGCTGAAGGGACCTTAGCGCAGTTGCTAGGTCCACATTCTGCGTGTTCAAAGTGGGTTGAACAGAGGGGGCAGCCGAAGATGTTGAGCCGTATGACTTTCAGATTTCTCCTGGCAGTGAATCTGCAAGTGGGACTGTTAGCGGGATGCGCCCTTACACAACTGGTACACCTTCGCTCCTCTTGTCATGTGAGGGGGCACAAATGCGTCATGTGGTCGGAAGTACACATTTTAAGCATTTGGCAGCGGTGACACTGCCGAATAAGTCTAGAGTTCTTTGAACTTGCTAGATTGCTACATCCCGCAGCTCATGATTGTTGAACAGCTGCTGGGACTTTTCAATCTGAGGCAGTATCACGACCACCAAAGGCATGGGTGCGCCGCCACTGCGTTTGAGTCGGATAATGTGGAGAGGAGTATGTCCCATCTGTTCTAATTCCCCTTTGATCTGCTGTTCCGAAAACATTGCGGGTGTACCTCCGACTACCGCGTGAATATTTCGTTCTGAAGGAAGAGGGAACGTACGATAGGGCACGTCTTTCTCCCTGAACAGACGAACGATCCTGTAGTAGTTATCCTCAGTTTTCGGCAAAATCCTGATTCCCGCATCAACGGCAACTGCGCGGTCTATCTTTATGACAAGGCTTATAAAGGAGTAGTTTATATTTCGCCACTTGGCCGCATCACGCAAAACAATGGGCGTGATTCGCCTCTGGCGGGGTGCTGTGCTGGTCAACTGAGAAGATGTGGTCGCTGCATCGACTGTTATAGAACATGTGGCAGAAGAAGTTGATACGTGTAATGAAGCAGACGGTTTTGAGGGGACTGTCAAATTGATTTTGGATTTTGCTTTTGGAAGAGGTGAGAAGTCATCTGTCTTGTCGGTTTTGTTCGCTTTGTCGCTGCGTCTTTTCCTCGTCTTGGCCTGGATAAATCCGTCATTATAAGGATGTTTTCACGAGTTCACGGTGTGATACAGTGCACTACTAGGAACCGATACTCAAATTTTCGCGAAGAACGGGAATAGGGGAAGACGGATGTCAAAAAATAACGTGGATCGGTTACCCGCCTAACATCGTTGAGGTACTACGGGTGACAGGTGTTATGTCAATGTCATTTAAAAAACAGATATCTCAATTGAAAATTTATCTTCGCAGTACCAGATATTGAGTTTAATTATTAAATCATAAATTGAGGAACACGTCCACCTGATTTTAAATGACGAGATACCGAAGATATAGGAACCGCACTTGTCATATCAAATGGTTAATTGGATATATATATATATATATATATATATACAGGGTGACTTCGAAGTTGCGTCATTTATTTTAACAGTCAGTAGATCTGATCAAAAGAAATGTTTTTTTCCTTTACCATTTTTCTGGTAAAATTAAAGTAACAAAGTTATAGCCCTTTAGAAGTTTGAGTGCCGCCCTGTCTCAATAATAATATTATGTGCTCGTGTTTGGCAACAACGGATATAATCCGCCTTATCGGTTCATCGCATCGGAAACAAAAAAGAGAAAGAATTTGAAACGCTTATCACGATGTTTTTACTACAATTTTATTCAGTTGTATTCAGTCAATGTGTCAGTCGGTAACGCGTGAGTGAATAGTGGTGTTTGTTGCGTGGTTCAAACGAAATAAAAAATGGCACATGTTTACGAAAATGTTAAACTTGTGGACATGAATGTTATTTACTTTACAAAATGCTGCCGCGGCATCACGGATTTATGCGGATCGGTTTCCCAATCGAGTGCAACCAACCCCTCGTGCCTTTGTTAATGTAGTACAAAGGGCTCGTGAATCAGGTGACTTAAGACCTCACAGGGGAGAGTATGCCGATGCTCCAAGACCGCACGATCAAATAGAACTAGAAGAACAACTTTTAGAATTAGTAAATGATGATCCAATAATAAGCACCCGACAAATTTCAACTCAATTGGCGATTAGTCAATATAAAACTTGGAAAACTCTACGTGAAAATCAGTTCTATCCGTTTCACATACAAAAAGTGCAGGCCTTACAACCGGAAGATCATGAACAAAGGGTTGACTTTTGCAATTGGCTTTTAAATAAACATCAAAATGATGACAATTTTTTAAATCAAATTTTAGTGAGTGATGAAGCCCTCTTTACTAGAAACGGAATTCTTAATTCACGTAATTCTCACGTTTGGGCTATTGAAAATCCCCATGAAATAAGGGAACCAATTTTCAACAGCGATTTGAACCAATCAACCTGTGGGCTGGAATTGTTAATGGAATTTTAGTTGGGCCTTTTGAATTACCAAATCGCTTAACTGGTGAAAATTATCTTGATTTCTTGCAACACAATTTGCCTGGTTTACTGGAAGATGTGCCTTTAAATATTAGACAAATCATGTGGTTTTTACAAGATGGGACACCTCCCCATTATGCAAGAAATGTGCGTGAATTTTTAAATAGACAATTTAATAATCGTTGGATCGGCCGTAGCGGTTTTGTACCTTGGCCGCCAAGGTCTCCGGACTTAAATCCTTTAGACTTTTGTTTGTGGGGCTGGCTAAAATCTCTAGTGTATAAAACACCGGTTAATACACGCGAAGAATTACGTGCTCGAATTGAGGAAATGAGTACAGTGATCAGAAATCAACCAGTGATTTTATTGCGTGCTTGTAAAGAGACATGGCTAAGACGCGCCCAGCTCTGCGTCGAGCGAAATGGAAATCATTTCGAACAGTTTTTGTGACATGCTTTTGGGCGCACAGGTCCGCACTGAAATACTTGTCGGGAGGATACTTTATAAAACAAGGTAACATTTTTCAATTTTTTTTTTATTTTTACACACACATATTTTGGTTTATCTTCATTCTACAATTATTATCTGAAAATTAATGACTCAATTTCAAAGTCACCCTGTATAAACAAGTAGGAAAATGATGGGCAAAATCCTCAAAAAGGAGGAAAGTGGATTCGAGCAGAAAATAGGATAGGTAACCCGAGCGATACATATTTCTGCTGGTTGGCTTCATCAGGCCCGAAATGAATGCACATATGAAACTACAAAAGTAGATACACATGCCCACACATCCGGATACGGGTGTAACCTGAGGAAACGAAGTTGTCCTTTTTTTTCCCCCTCCAACTTCGTTTCCTCAGGTTACACCCGTATCCGGATGTGTGGGCATGTGTATCTACCTTTGTAGTTTCATATGTGCATTCATTTCGGGCCTGATGAAGCCAACCAGCAGAAATACGTATCGCTCGGGTTACCTATCCTATTTTCTGCTCGAATCCACTTTCCTCCTTTTTGCGGATTTTGCCCATTATTTTCCTACTTGTTGTTATATCCCTTTCTCCGCATGATCATATTCTCTTATATATATATATATATATATATATATATATATATATATAGATATATATGATATCCTTTAATTTCTTTGGGTAGAAGGCAAAGTATTGCAAAAGTACACTCTTATAACTTAAAATCTCAAGTTTTCGAAGAATTTTTTCTTCATCGTCTGGAGTAAGTCCTCGAGATTGTTGCTGAAATTGTTTTTTAAACAACAGTGAAGGAAACACATAGTCGAATAAAAAACTGGACCGATGAGGTTCGATTAGGACGGAATTATTTTATTGTTAAATGGAAAATCATTTTGAAAGGTATTAATTAAAATTAGACGTTGATTGATTTTGGAAGAAATTTGGAGATTTTGAAACTATCAACTATTAAAAATTCTCGATTTCATCTTTTTTTTCCACTGATAACCTCCATATTATCCAACTCGTACCGGCCGACTCTTGCCTGAAAGGTCTTTCGAAGTCCTTTATTTTGACGTTGGATTCTTATAGATCGGTCGATTCGTTTTCAAGAATTTATGCAGATAGAAAACAAAAAAACACGAAAATATCACTTTTTATTTCAATGCGTGTTCAAAATGTTCTCCCCTGTTATTGGCCAAACAATGATATAGGCGATGTTCAAATTCCTAACAGACATTTTTAAAAACATGTTGTGCGATATCATGACAGCTTTCGATGCGTTGACGAAGGTCATCCAAACTTTCAGGTTGGAGAGTCAATACAATAGATTTCAAATGGCCTCATAGAAAAAAGTCTAATGGCGTCAAATCAGGGGATCTAGCAGGACATTCTATATGCCCTCTTCGCCCCATCGATTATTCTGGAAGCTCGTCGACTAGCCGTTGCCGAACCGGAAGAACATAGTGAGGAGGAGCGCCGTCTTGCTGGGAATATATTTCACACTCATCAAGTATAGGGTTTCCATCCTCTCCGATTTGGTTTCCAATGGTTTCAGTGATAAGCGGATTGATGGTACTTTCCAACACATAAAAATAAACGTCTCCATTTACATTTCCACTAATAAACAATGGCCCAATCACTTTGTTTCCTAAAATTTCTGCCCACACATTAATTTTTTGAGGATACTGGGTATGCCCTTCTACAAAAGCGTGAAGATTTTCATTGCTCCAATACCTGCAGTTATGCTTATTAACAAATCCAAGTCAAGTAGTTTTTGGTTAAAAAGTCGTCTCTCTTGACAAATCTTTTGACGTGTTTTGGCGTTTTTTATTTTGATCAGTGGTTTGAGATAAATCCATGGTGGGAAGATTTCAAATGAACACCGGAAAAGACAATTAACAGAAGCATGCCATGAAGTACAACAAATCAAAAACCTAATCAAAACATAACAATCAAATTGTCAATAGTTTTGCGTTACTCTGAGCAATTTTTGTGCTTACCAAATGCGTTTTTATTTATTTATTTATTTATTTCCAACAGGTGAAACCCAATTACAGGAAATGCTGAAAAAAATAAGAATTAAAGAGACATGGTTCTTGAACTTAAATCTATAGTATCACACATTCTAAAGAAGATTGGATGATCTATAGCAGTTAATAATCGATGCACAAATGTCACTGTAAATATCACACGATTCAGTAACACTGTTCATGACACAGCACATGAGATTAATCGGCCATTTTGTCATAACATTTGTACGGCCAGCTTGACAATAGAATGCCGTTTGTTGTCGACTCTCTAGCCTTGGAACGCGGAAACATATTTTTTCAAGTAAATTTTGACAGTCAATTTTATTGTGAATGAGGCCATACAAAAACGACATAGCAAATATGTTTCGTCTTGTTGACAGTGAATCCAAATTGAAAAACTCTAATAGGGCACTATTACTATGGTCACAACCTCTTTCTGGATAAGAACCTGTGCATTAAAGGTGAAAATACTTTAAAGCTTTACGATGAATGGCCTCAAGGATCACGACAGAATTTTGGTATATAGGAGACCAGATCAGAGTCGCATACTCTAACTTGCTCCTGACAAAAGTAAAAAATAAAGTCATTAATGTATCAACATTGGAAAAACCCTTACAGTTTCGGATACAGAAATCAAGTAGTCGAGTGGCAGTCGACGAGATATTGAGTATATGCTCAGTAAACGTTAGCTTGGTATCAAAAGTGACTCCAAGGTCTCTATAAGAGGTGCATCTGTCGATAACCTCACCATTGATGTTATAATTATCATAAATTAAATAGTTAACCTTTCTTGTATAAGTCATAACGTTACATTTCGAAACATTCAGACTGAGACAGTTTTGTGAACACCA